ACACTACCCAGGCTCGCCCTCCACTCATGGGATGTAGCTGTGGCAGGCCGCTGGGGGGGGGCTGATGCCGCGTGGCCCGCTGGCCCTGGCCGTGATGCTGCTGCTGCTCTGCCTGACCGGCCCCTGCCAACCCCTCCGCCAGGAGGTAGCAGGAGGAAGAAGGGGAGGAGGAGGGCGAGGAAGCTGCCCCCGCCCCAGTCTGGACTCCGCGCTGCCCGGGCTCGCCCTCCGCCCATGGGATGTAGCCACGGCAGGCCGCTGGCCCTGGCCGTGATGCTGCGGCTGCTTTGCCTGACCGGCCCCTGCCAGCCCCTCTGTCGGCCCGGCTGCCCCCCCGGGAGCCTCTTGCCCCGGCGCCCGCCCAAGCCGCCCGGCGGGCAGCAGGAGGAAGAATGGGAGGAGGAGGAGGAAGAGGGCGAGGAAGCCGCCGCTGGTGCCGGTCCCTGGAGGAGGCGCCCCCCCCACGTGTACGGCCAAGGCTCTTCTGCCAGTGTCCAACACCTCCGGCCAGAAGTTTCTGCAGGCCATCATCGTCGGCGTGAAGGGCAGGACCCGCGCGCTGCTCGAGTTCCTGCACGTCCACCTGGATGTGTGAGCTGTCGGGGCAGAGCCACACTTCTTTGACCGCTGCTATGAGAAGGGGCTGCTCTGGTACAAGTAAACCGGGGGGCATGCCATCTGCCCCGCGGCCACTTCACCGCGGTGCTCCATGGACTCAGAGCCCCCTCCCTCCCCCCCCCATCGACCCTCCGTCTTCGGCTCTGCTGCTGGTTGGAAAATGCCTCCCCCCTTCCCTTTCTCTCTCTCCCCCCCCCCCGCGATCTTCTGCTCACCTCGCATTCTTTGCCAACAAGCTGACTGGGCTGGCTTTAAATCGGCTCTCCTCTCCTGCCATTGCTGCGTCTCCCTCTTCCTTCCCAGCAGCCGGGACTCCAGCGCACCTTCCCGGCCGGCGGGGCCAATGGTCGCACCGGCTGGGAATCACAGGGGCTGCTCTCCCTCGGGGCCGTGGCTTGCGGGAGGGCTGGCCCACCCACCGGGGGCCGCTCCCAGGGGGGATCCCGGGGCTTCCCGGCCACGTGCGCCTCGGATGGGGCCAGCCTGGGAAAGGGACTTCCTGGCTACGCTTCTCCCAGGGGGCAGCACACCCGGGCGCAGGGCCAATCAGGAGCTCCACGGGGGGGGCAAGTCAGAGAGAGAGAGAGAGAGAGAGAAGGGAAGCGCAAGTGCCTCTCTCTGTCTCTCTCTGCAAATGGCGGAGGAAGCTGAGAGCCATAGCAGAAGGCTCAAAGAGCCACATGCGGCTCCAGAGCCACGGGCTGCTGACCTGTGAGCTAGCTCTCTGGAGAACACTCTGGGAAAGAAAAGAGGACAATCAGCAGCAAGGTTGATGGCCTCAGTTGATAGGTGTTTTATTGGAAGACCTGAAGGACCACATTAGGGACAGATCATCATGGAGGTTATCTATGTGGCCATTAAAGTTGACACCTACTTTATGGCACATCAATCTTTTGCAAATTTTACTGATTTGTCTATATTTAGTGTTATGGTTTTTCTTCTTGTTCCTACTACATGTTATCAAGTATCCTACACTATTTTAATCACATTTTCCAATATCATACAATGATGATAGTGTGACTGGTATTTCACTTAATGTTGCTGAAAAAAAAACATTGTAACAAATTTTATAAAAGCCATATGTGATAAGAAATCTAATGGCAGAACTAAAGAGCCTCTTGATGAGGGTGAAAGAGAGTGCAAAGATTGGCTTGAAACTTCTACATTAAAAAAACTAAGATCATGGCATCCAATCCCCTTGCTCCCTGGCAAATAGAAGGGAAAGAAATGAAGCACTGACAGATTTTATTTTCTTGGGTCCCAGATCACTGCAGATGGTGACTGCAGCCATGAAATTAAAAGACACTTGCTCCTTGAGAGGAAAGATGTGGCAAATCTAAACAGTACATTAAAAAGCAGAGACATCTTGCCAATAAAGATCAGTACAATCAAAGCTATGTTTTTTCCAGTAGTAATGTATGGTTGTGAGAGCTGGGCCATAAGGAACACTAAGCAAAGAAAAACTGGTGCTTTTGAAATGTAGTGCTGGAGAAGACACTTAAAAGTCCCTTGGACTGCAAGTCAGTCAACTGTAAAGGAAATCAATCCTGATTGTTCTTCGGAAGGAGAAGCTGAAGTTCAAATACTTGTCCACCTAATGAGAAGTAGGAAAAGACACTGATGTTGGGAAAGACTGAAGGCAAAAGGAGAAGTGGACGGCAGAGGATGAGATGGTTAGATCAGGGCTTTTCAACCTTTTCACCAACTGTACCACTTTTAGGATATAGCAATATTCGAGTACCACCTAGCAAGGTGTCAAAAACTTGATGACCAAAAAAAACCCTGTTCAAAGTTACAATTGCACTGAAATGACTTATGACCATTTTTCACACTTATGACCATTGCAGCATGCCCAGGGTCATGTGATTTATATTTGGATGCTTGCCAACTGATTCATATTTATAATGGTCAGTGTCCCAGGGTCATGTGATCTCCTTTTGCAACCTTTTGACAAGCAAAGTCAATGGCAGGGGTGTTGGTGGGCAAGTGCTAAGGTGGGACTTCCCTCCCTCCCTCCTTCCCTCCCTCCCTCTTTCTCATGCCCACCTCCTTCTGAAGGAAGAATTTGAACCCCCCCCCCAATATTTTCTCTCTTCTATATATTCACCAAACAAGGAAAAGCCTCCAGAGACAGAAAAGACAAGCTGCTGAGTGAACTAGCTTAAAAAGACACATTCCCCTTTAAGAATTAGTTACTGGCTAGAAAGGAAAGTTAAGGAGCGCAGCTGGCACTTAAGAAAAAAAATGTAGTAAGTATTGGCTGCCGGCTAAGGCAGCCTCCCCAAATGGCTCCATTCATAAGTAAAGGAATGCTACTGGCAAAATTCATTCAGGAGAAAAATACTTCAAAATCCCTTGCAACAAAACTTACAGCTAACAACAGCAGAGCAATAGAAGCTAACACGAGACATCAGCCATCAGCCAAATAGAAATTGCCAAACACTCCTTAAGAACACAAAGCCCTCATTGCACAAATCCCAGAACTTCAAAGTCACAAAAGCACATAAGAATCTTTCCACTCTCCATCTCCCTCCCCCATGCCTCACCTCCAGCCATTGCTGCTTTTTTCATTCCTCTTGGGGGGTGACCCCTCCCCTGCTGCATTTCTTGCCTGTTTGTTGCTGCCAGCACAGGTGGCTGCCACAAAAGTTATAGATCGGCTCATGGCCGACCTGCTTGATCTCTTCTCTCCCCCCACCCTCCTCCTTCCCCTTCGGTGCAGCTAGAGCTGACTCCACCTCCTTCCCAAGGCTGCTTCTTTTTCTCTCTCTCCCTCTCCCGCTCAAACTGCCTCCTCCTTTTATAGCGTCTCCTCTCCCCATCCCCTCCTCCTCCTTTCTCATGGGGAAGGGTGAGCCAGAAGTGAGCCTGGGGCCTTTGCCTTGCCCCAGCCACTGTGCAGCTCCAGAGGACTCTCTCTAAGTCCTTGCCTGCGCTGTATATGGCTGCGAACCACCTGCCACTCATTAATGTACCACAAGTGGTATGCGTACCACAAGTGGTACGCGTACCACCAGTTGAAAAGCCCTGGGTTAGATAGTGTCATCAACATAATGAACATGAATTTGGGCAAACTCCCAGAGACAGTGGAGGACAAGGGAGTCTAGTGTGATATGGTCCATAGGGTTGAAAAAAGTTGGACACGAGTTAGTAACTGGACAATAACAAAATGTGGTAACAAAAGAGGTTCAAGGCCTTGTAGGTTGAAGGAAGCAAGCAATAACAATTAAATAATAGAGAACCTTAGGGAGGTCATCAGAGGGAAACATAAGATTTCTGGATGTGTACTAATTTCCATAACTGAATTAATTCTTAAACTCAAGCTCCTTCCCTTAGTGTTTTGAAGTATCCTGAAGTCTATGGAGATTCTCAGTCATCTAGGTCAGGGGTCCCCAACCTTTCTTGGTTGGCAGCCTGGGGCGGGTGGAGGCACATTTATCCATGTGAGCATGAATGTGCGCGCACGAACGGGGCTGTGATTGTGCATGTGATGCAAACAGGGCCACGAGCGAACACACAATGCTCGGAAGACGTTAGCACCTGTGCAATGCTTGCATGAATGGAGATGTTGCGCTTGCAGCGACAATAGCACCAGAATAATGCCACGATGCTAGCACTTGGGGGGGGTGCACTCATGGCAACACTAGTGTCCACACGACGCTCACGGCATTGCTAGCACCCGTGCAAAGCCACGCTAGCGTGAGAGGGGGTGAGCTTGTGGCAACGATAGCACCCATGCAATGCCATGACATTGCTGGGTGGGAAGGAAGTTGGAGGCTTGCAAGCTCTCACTGATTCCCACCACTATACATGCCTGAACTTCATTGGGTAGATGAGTGGCTATAGGGACCCAGTGGGATGGGTGGATGAGCTCTGCAATCCATCATAAGAATGAATAACTGTGGGGATGCTGCAGCCACCATAATTTTGAAAGTTGCAAGTAGCTTTGGGGAAGTCTGTTGTAACTTCAAATGGTCATTAAGCAACTTGTTGTAAGTTGAAGACTACCTATGTTGTGTATAAACAGAGAGCAAATCCCACTCCCTTCTAGTACTAAAGATGTTATCTTGTTGAGTAAACAACTAATCAGAAAAAACCCCAAAGAATCTGCAGAGAAAAAGAGAGAGACAGGACTAAGAGAGAAAGGGGGGAAAAGCAAATAAATGCTTATAAAATACAAATGAGTTGGTCTCTTAGAAGCTCTAAGTGTTCAGTCTCTAAATAGAACTAGTCAGGGGTCAAGAATCAAAAATATAACTGGCTCCAAAAGGAAGAGGCAACTTGAGGCGAAGAACGCCTCTATGTCATTTGGAACTGTTATGTTTTGAATCATACTCCAAATTCTCAAGAAAAAATAAAACAAGGAGGATTCTTTTAATTACCTTCACTTGAAGTTTTGTTTCGCTGTCTTGGTCCTTTTGTTGCCTGCTGCTTCGATAATCTTGCAGAATTTTCATTCTTAAAAATGTACATAAAAGCATGTAATGCATGTACAGTATATTGTCTAGGTCCATATGTGTATGTGCATGAATGAGTGTATGTGTGTGTGTGCGCACGCACACACACACACACACCATGCAGGCATTTTTAGAATATTACTTTTTTCCATTTTCTGAATGTATAAAGGTATCATAGGTAGTCAGATTTTAAACAACCAAGTTATAAGGGGAACTGAGTCTTTAGTAACGTACTCCGTAGAATTTGGATGTATTTCTATTTTCTGTAATTCAAGCAATGGTATGTTCAGAGGACAGAAAAACAATGTGGTCATTCCAGCAAAAGAAAAATGAAAGATATATTTTGCTTAATGAACTGAGGCGTATTTTTCTTAATTGATGAATGAACAAGTATAATGTTTTGGACTCATTTGTTTAATAGAGTTCTCTTTTTCCAGTTTTATGAAGTGTGAAGAACAGACCGCATTTTAAATCAAATTCATGCAGAAATATTACAAATTCAACAAGGTTCACAAACTTTTAAACATCACTTCTCAGGTCTTTTATTCTCTTTCATGCATGTTGCTTTAATTGCTTGCTTTTGCAAAAGTCACAATTTACAGGTTTGTATTCAATAGATAAAAACTATATATAGAAAAAGGAAAGCAGATTCCTACATACAAAAAAATAAACCTCTAATTTTATGTTACGGAGATTTTTCATTCAGCAACTGCATTGTTTAGCAAATATTTGCAGTTATACTGGTAATTACAGAGTAACTTCATAACCAATCTTTGCATTTTAGTATTTCAACAGTTACATGTTTCAAACTATAAGCCACACATGCTTTTTGTCACTTGTCTGTGGAGAGTAAAATGTAATATACCAGTAACCTGTAAAATTAGTATTTTCTATTACTTACTTCTTTATCAAATTCAGCTTGATCTTTTATAGACTTTTCTGCCAGTTTTTTAGCAACATTCTCTTCAGATCCTGTGGGCTAAGGAGAGAATATTTTTAATAAAATATCTAGAATCATTAACAGGCTGAAAAAGTAGTCCTCAACTCATGATGGCAATTGAGACTGGACATTCTGTTAAGCAATGCAGTCATAAAGTGCAAAGTGCAAGGAGGCACAAAAAGACTTAGGGAAGGGCACATAGGGATGTGAGGGGGTGAATGAGGGAGTCATGGCAAGGCTCAGGGAGGGTATGTGGGAGTACACAAACTAACCAGTGCAGTTTAAGTGCAGAAGGGCAGGAGAAGGTGCACAGGTGGGGGAGAGTTGCCCCAGTGACTTGCAACTTTCCCTGCCAGCTTTTCCACTGACTTTCCTGGGAAGCTGACAGGAAAAGTTGCATGTGGCAATCACAAGATCATGGGGTGCTGCAAGTTGTTTGTAAGTGCAAGCCAGTTGCCAAGCTCCCAGATTGTGATCAGATGTCCAAGGGGATGCCTGGGAGGCCAGAACTCTATGAACTATGGCCATAACCACCATTTAGCACCATCATAACTAATACTCATAAGTTGAGGACTACCTGTATTATCTCTTTATAGTTTTCTGTGACAAATAATCCTCACCAATAAGCAACACTACATATATGCAATTCTGCTCTCAAAGTCTGAATCAACAAACCCCATTATTAATGAACAGAATGGATTTCAGATTTATATAAGTTAGTCCATGGATTAATTTAACAAATTCTTGATGGTCATAGAAATTTCACTGATAGTCAGTGACTATATTTCATATCAAAGCTGACATGGTTATATAGTAATCTGAGCTCATGTCTTCAAAGTTGTCACACATTAATTTATTACAAATTAATACAGGTAGTCCTCAACTTACAACAATTGAGCCCAAAATTTATGTTGCCAAGTGAGAAATTTGTTAAGTGAGTTTTGCCCCATTTTATGACTTTTCTCATATTTATTAAGTAAATCACTGTAGTTCTTAAATTAATAATACATTTGTTAAGTGAATCTTGACTTCCCCATTGACTCTGCTTGTCAAAAGGTCGCAAAAAGAGATCACATGACCTTGGGATACTGCATTATAAATGTGAGTAAGTTTTCAAGTATCTGAATGTAAATTCCATGGCCATGGGGATGTTGCACCGCTCATAAATGTGAAAAATGGTTGTTAAGTCTCTTTTTTCAGTGCTGTTGCAACTTCGAACAGTCACTAAATGAACTGTTGTAAGACGAGCACTACCTGTAAGACCATACTCAATTAACTCACATTACTAGAATAAGATTAACCAAATAAACCATTATTTTCATCTGCAGCAATTTAGAAATCTCCCAGTGAAATCAATGAGAACCACCAACTAACTTGATTGCATCAATACATTCAGAGCTTTCATTGTTTATTTGATGTACTAGATGTCACAATATTGCTACGTTTAAAAAGTAAAATAGTAGTTATTTTAAAAGGCTTTTATGATATTTACTATTTACATGAGATAAACAATGAAAGTTCTGAATGTATTGAAATCTAAGAGAATGATTGAATCATGTCTTTTATAAGAAAAAATGCTTAAAAAGATACTATAGTTAGTCTACACGTTTTGCCTTTCAAACGAATTGCCATAGAATTTGCAATGTTAAAATTAATATTTAGAAATGCATCCATAGTTATGACTGCAGTTCACACTTTAAATAACTTGATGATAAGTTAAATTTTTGAATAATTATTTATTAAATTTCTTCACTGCCTATCTCACCTAAAGTGACTCTTAGATACATGCAATTCCCTGGAGAATGGATATGCTTAAAACGCCTGTTAATTCCAATTATCATTAACTATTACTGTACACATTACCTTTTTGTCTGTTTTGTCTTTTCTTTCTTCTCGTGTTGTTTCTATATCTTTCCCTCTTTCCCTCCGTTTGTCTTTTTCTTTGCCCCTGTCTCGGACTTTCTCATAATCTTTATCCCTGTCTCTAGGTTTATCTTTTTCTCGTAATCTGTCTTTTTCTCTTCCTCCCTCATATTGTTTCCTTTCCTTGTCTCTTTCTTTATCACATTCTTCTTTTTCTCCTCCCCCTTCTTCTTTTTCTTTGTTTCTAATTTTCTCTGGCTCTCTTCCTGATTTGGATAATCTATTCTTGATTCTCTCTTTTTCATATTTTTCACTTTCATTAACAGTTTTATCAAAATTATTGGGATGATTTTCATAATCTTTATATTTTTCATTTTCTCTTTGCTTGCTTTCTTCCTCTTTCAATTCTTCTTTGATTTTTTGATTCTGAACTGTGCTTTTGTCTTTTATTTCAGAGTCACCTCTTCCCTAAATAATAAAATACAAAATATTAAATTACATACAAAATATTTGGGTAATTCAAAATGTTAGCCATCATCCTTAAAACCCTTTAGGGATTAGGACCTAGATATCTTTGGGATTCATTATAGATAGTTCTTGATAATAATTTCTGTTAATAAGCAATATGATTGTAAAATGTGATATCACATGACTGTATTGCTTTGTGACAGCAATCGAGGCGGTTGCTAGCATAATCTCAGGATTGCATGGGTTATTAATTGGGAAGAGATGGGAGTCTCAGATAAGCAGGCCAGTGGGTGAAAGCTGCAGGTGACAGCGATGGAAGGGCAAATGCCACAGGGAGATGTTACAGAAAATGAGAAGCTTAGTGGGTGCTGCAACCAGGCAGTATGGAATATGGACAGGTAGTTGAGTGCCACAGGGGGGCACTAAGGAACACAGATGGGTGGATGGGTACCATAGGCAGGCATTATAGAGTGCAGGCAGGTGTGCAGATGGGTGCACAATTACTGCAGGTGGGTGTCATAAAGAGGTGCTATGGAATGTGAAGATGAGCAAGTGCCATGAGTGAAAGAGCAGGTGAAAAAACGATGCAGGTTTTTGCAAGATTTTGGTTGTGGGAAACCAAGCAGGAAAGGCTGCAAATAGCAATCATATGACTTCAGGATACTGCATCATTGTAATTACAAACTGGTTGCCAAGTGCCCAAATTATGATCATGTGACTGTGGAGATACTGAAACGGCTGCAACATTGCAGACTAGTCTTAAGTCCCCCTCATAATTTTGAATGGTTGCTGAACAAGTGGTCATAATCTGAAGATTGCTTTGATCTATAAGTAATCTTTGACTTATAATCACTCATTCAGTGACCATTCAAAATTACAATCATGCTGAACGAAAAGACTTACAACCTGTATCCGAACTTATAACTGCTACAATGCCTCCAAGATCACATGAACAAAATTTGCGCACTTGGCAATCCACCCACCCTAATGATTGACACAGTGATGCTACAACGGCCCCCATCCATCTTCCCCTATCCCCTCCTTGGGCCTATCTTCCACGTGGCTGGGTCCCCCCAGTCCTTGGGCTTGCTTCCCGCATCATGCTTCGCTTCACTTACCTTTTCCAAAGATTACTTTGGGTAAAACTGGCCAATCTGCCCTATGGCCTTTCTATACAGAGAACCCATGGTGCCATCCCGGAAATGGTTACAATTCTCTCAATCCAAGAATTTCCAAATAGTGCATTGGCTTCTTCTCTTTCTCAAAGGCAATCTTTGGAAAAGGTAAGTGGACTAAGATGTGATGTGGGGGGAGAAGAACCCAGATTGGGGGATCCAACAGAGAAGGAAACAGAGCATGGGGTGCCTCACAGGATGGCCCTGGGAGGCTCAAGGTAAGCCATATGTGAGCTAGGGAGGCCTCCCAGGGCCTCCCTCATCCCAAGGATTCTCAGGCTCTGCTTAATGACAACCAGGAGAGCAGGGATTGTTGTCGTTCAACAAGATGATCACATGGGTGTTTTGCTCAATGACTGCCAAACTTAAAATCGTAATTCTGGGCTCGACTATTGTTGTAAATCAAGGACTACCTTTATATTTCTTATGTATTTTGTTTTAAGCTGAGTTTAATCAGTTATCACTTAGCTTCATTTATGACTGGATCAGCACAGAAACCAAGTAAATAAAGAAATAAAACAATTTCCCTGGGTTTTTTATTCAACATATAGAACCCTATTACCTCTTTATGATATCTACATTCTTCTGTTTTAGATTCTCTGTTTTGAGATTTAGATGAATATAGTGCCTTTTCTTTAATAGCTTTTTCTTCAGCAAGTACTTTCTGAACAGCTTCATCACTGGAAAGCTACATAAAAGAAATGCACATTAAACTACTAGAATACATGTAACTCCCAGTGCCAGAATACAAACAAGCACCCCATGCCCTCGTTCTCTGGCCTCCCTGCATTCACACATACCCCACATGTCAACGCTGCTAATATTGTATATTCTTGCTTTGACAAAATATGCAGAACTGTCTGGTATTTTTAGAGTTAATGCAGAGGAGAAGGAGGGAGGAGGGAAAAGCCCGCGAAAGAGAAAGGAAGGGAACCTTTGCCCTTCACACTAATTGGAGAACGTAAATCATGACATCAAAATAGGGAGCGGAAATGCTAGCAAAATAACTGCTCGGTGGGTGGGGATTTTAGATCTTAGCATCCCTTCGTTATGCTGTGCCGACATTTTGTAACATGATAAAAGACTTTTAGGAAAATCAATGCCTGGAAGTTCTTTGAAGTGTTTCATTAGCCGGAACCATGACATCATGCTAAGATCTCAATCCTTTTCAAATGACCTGGGGTCCTGAACTCCATCCACTGCCTCTAGGCTTGAGAGGAACTGGTAAAGATTCAGGGGAAGAAAATCTATCATGAGAAAAGGGAGTTTGATTGAAGACCCAGCAGCTGCTGATAACCCAGAGTGGGAAGCAACAGACAGCATGCTGTGGGAAGATGAATTTTGGCAGACAAATACAAATCGGTGGAGAGCTGCCAGGTAACCTGCAATTGAAGATTCAGGTGAGTCACTGGAAAGATTTCAAAACCCAGAAGTGAGAAGCAGAGAACAGCTTCTGTTGAGAGAGGCCCCTAGCCCCTCCCTCGCAGATGAAACAGCCTTCCAAACCCTGGGGTCCCCTGCCAGGGCCTCCAGCCCCACAGAGAGAGAGAACCCCAGCCTGGGCCCCCTACAGCAATGGGGAAATGAGCAACCCCCACAGATAGATGATCAGCAGCAGCTGAGCATACCACAGCTAATAGAGGCCTTGTAGCAGCTTGGGGTGGTGCAAAAGCCAGGAGAGCGACAGCCAGTGGGAGGGAGGCCCAGCAACAACCTCCACTTGTCCAGCAGCCATTGAGAGGCCTACAGCAGCAGGGGGCACCACCAGCCCCCGCTGGCCAGCAGCAGAGAGCTCAGCAGCCGGTGGATCAGCAGGCAGGATGGGGCCAACACCAACTGGGAGGGCCACAAGAGCAGAGGGGAGTCCAGCAGCCGTGGAACCAGCAACCAGGGTGGGGCCAGCAGCAACAGCCCCAGTGGGGGCCGCAACAGCCTGTATTTGCACCACCTTTCAGAGCAACCTTCGATGGGGATCCAGAGAAGCTGATTTTTTTTCTGAACCAAGTGCGTTCTCCCTTGAATCGCTGGGCCTATCTCTATCCAGACCCAGGTGCCATGGTCGATGTTATTGTGTCCAATCTAGAGGGAGAAGTATCTGAATGGCTGAATAATTTACATAGTGAGCAAGCCCCCGAACTGGAAGATCCCCACCTTTTTCTCCTGGGACTGAGAGAAAGATTTGAGGACCCATCCATTGGCCTCAAAGCAGCAGAACAGATTCACAAAATAAAACAAGCCAGTAGGCCTGCCCTGGAGTACGTGCGAGAGTTCCGCAAGACAGCAGGTCGAATAGAGGGGTGGCCTGAGCAAGCCCTCATCCAACACTTCATTGAGGGATTAGACGATCACCTCTTTCAGGCATGCATCTATCGAGCCATACCTGATCAGCTGCATGAATGGTACCAGGCAGCAGTGAAGCTAGACGTTCAGTTCACCCGCTATAAGAAACCTCCCCCACACGAGCCCGAGCAGCAACCAGAGCTACCCAGACAGCAATCACCCCCACGAAAGCCTTCAATTACTGCAATGGCTGAGAGACCCAGGCCACCTACAGGCCCATTGGGGTGGGGGGGTGGCGGTTATTATTAGGGAAGGCCTGGATCCAAGGGAGACCACTGTGCCGCAGACTGCCGGTTGTGAATCCCTAGGTGTGAAGTGGGGTCATGGGAGGCAGCAGGGCGTGCTGATTGTATACCTGGCTCCCCGCTATGTATCAGCAGCCCTACCCGAGCTACTCAGTGTGATAGCCGAGATGGCG